TAGCCCCACGGTGTGAGAACAGAGTGATGACATGCAGCCCGGGGGTTTACAAAGTTGGGAGCATAAGACAATTACTTGGGGTGCTTGTCACTTCCCACCTCTCCCATTATCCAAGGAAAACCTCATCAGTGTGCTCACAGGGGTCCTAGGAAGGAGAGCCCAGGAGAGGGCAGCCTGAGAAGGGTGAAGGGACAAGGTGGCCCTGCCCTGTAAGCAGCCCCAGGACGCGGCACCCCTGAGAGTGCAGCCCGGTGTCTGCACCCAGCCCCGAGCTGGCCCCACGCTGGCCACGGGAGGCACTGAAGGGACAGCCGCTGCTCGAAGAACGAGAGCTTGCTCCCTCACTGTCCGTGCCAACCTCCTTGTAGCCGTCAGCGAGATCCCACCAAGTGAGTCAGATCGGGCCTCTCGCCTGCTTCAGACCCCTCCAGCGACTTCCCAGAGCCCTGGGCGGACCCCGCAGCCCCCGCTTCCTGTGCACACCACCTCCCGTTCTGGGGGCACGCCAATTCCCCAGCTCAGAGCCTTCGCATCGGCCCTTCCACTCTGCCCAGAACAAGCGTCCACACTTTCTCCGCTCCCTCACCCTTCAGGCCTCCGCTCAAATTCCACCTCCCAGAGACCCTCCTGCCCGGTTTCCACCCCCACCTCTGAGGCCAAGATGAAGAAGTGGAAGCAGAGGGGGTGAAGTCCTTTGAAGACAGAACAGGGCTCCAGGACAGTTGGGGAAGTCTACCCTGACTGGGAGGCCGGCAAGACTCCAAGGCTGAGCCCTGAGGCTCAGGAGGGGTGGAGGTGGGTAGAGGGGGGTGGAGGGTTTATGCCCCCTCAGACCCCCCTCCCCCGGCTTAAATTCTGCAGCACATCCCCGTGACTGCCTCTTGCGCCCGTGGTGACCTGGGGTGCACACTGCCTCCTTCACGGGGTATTTTGTGAACCAGCCACTCTGCCATGTTAGTTACATCCTGGTTTTGCAATAAGTGTCTCTATGAGGTCAACCCACCCTTTCTCACCACGATAAAGCTCTGTGTTTCTGCTTTTGTGGTACGTGGGTCTTTTTCTTCTTCTGAAACCATAAAAGGTGTCAAAATCTCCCTGTTGCTAAAATCCTTTGTGCACACGCTCAGCTGGAAGCGTCTTTGCGGCTTAGCTGAGCGAGGCCCTGCAGCTGCTGGCTCACCTGTGTCTCAGCCTCGTCAAGGGATTGCCTTATATGGTGAAAAGCTGCCCCGGGCTCATAAAGGAAGTCCTCAGTTTCAAAAGAGGCTCTGTAGGGATCTTTGCAGAAGGTCTGGCCTCCGAGCCTGCAGGAGCCAGCTCGCTACCTTTGTGGGAGGGACAGGGTGTCTCCAGCAACCAGAGTCAGGTGCCAAAGACACGGCGTCCGGGGAGGGGAGATCCTATGGTTAAACCAAGAGATGCTCAGGAGTCTATTGCTTGGAGAAGACCGGCAGCGAGAGGCAGGAGGTCGTGTAAAGTTAGGAGAAGCAGACGGAACTGCTATTTTTCATCTCCAAATGGCAATACTGGTAAATGTCAGCTTCCAGTGAATTATGGCCAGGCCACAACCAAGTGCCCAACATGCAGCATCTCCCTTAACCATCACGCAGTTGGGTAGGATGAGCACCATTATTAGTCCCACTCTACAGATAAGGAAAATAGGCTCAGGGGAAGCCAGTCACTTATCTAACGTAAAATAAGCAACTTATCTACCAGACAACCAGTAAGCGGGAGAGACACAACAGGCCTCCAGGCATGCTGTCCCGGGGAACAGGGGCAGAAGCCCGTGCCGTCCCACGCAGCAGCCACGGGCCGCGTGTGGCCACCCAGCACTTGAACTGGTCCAAACTGAGATGTGCTATGAGTGCAACACACAAAGTTCAGAGACTTGGCTGTATTTTTTAATTTTTTTAAGTTAAAAGATTATTTTCAACTGTAAAATATCTCAAATTTTTTAAGCTTCATTTTGAAATAATTAAATGTTTACAGGAAGTTCAAAGGCAGTACCCAGAGGCCCAAAGATGTAGTGACATCTTACATAATTATCGTGCAGTATCAAAACCAGGAAACTGCATGTGTGTGTGTGTGATAACTCCGTGTGCTTTCGTCACACGTGTGGATCCGTGTAACCACCACCACAGTCCAAGAACAGAACCAGCCCTCACCACAGGCATCTCCCTCCTGCCACCTCTTCATAATTTTAAAAGAGAGATGACATGTTGAAATAATATCTTGGCTATCTGAGGTTAATAAAATGTAGTTTTGAGATTAATATCACCCATTTCTTTGCCCTTTATAAGATTGAGAGTCATGTTTGGGGCTTTCCTCCTGTTCCCGCTGGACTGCCCTGGCCTGGAAGTGCAGCCCTGGCTCGGCCTTTGACACAGGTCACCTGACCTCCTGGAGCCTGGCTCCTCCGGAGTAGACAGGGCCTTCAGAGTCAGTGTGCAATTGTTCGTCCATTCAGTGCATCTATTGAGTGCCTGCTGTGTGCTGGGCATTGTGCTAAGGGCTAGGGTGCAGAAGCAAAGACTGCTGCTCAGAAACCTCAGTTGTCCGTGCTCCCAGAGCAGGGAAACCCAGCAGGGGACCCCAGAATCCTGCCCCCTTCCCAAGACCTTCCCGAACCCACTCAGGGGCACACGGAAGGAAGGGACAGTGGCAGAAAAATTTAAAAAGTGCTGACACACGGAAGATGCTGATGCCTACAGCCATTGCTCCCAGTTAGAGAACTTGGGAGCCGGCCCTGGGACCTAACGTCCAGTTCATAAGTGTCCCCCATCCCCATCGTTCTGTCTGTCCTTCTGTCCATCTGTCTTTCCATCCATCCCAGAGGTACAGAAGGCTTTTTTAACATTTTTTATTAGGAAAATTTTCTAACAGAAGGAAAAGCAGACTAATAAAACCAACCCTCTTGTACCCACCACATAGATTTAATCAGTGTTAACATTTTTGCCATATTTCCTATTATTCATGGGACTATTTGGGGGAAAAAAAGATAGTCATCCTGACCTGTCAGCCTTACATCTGTCCATCTGCATCTCTTGGTTAAAAAAAAGGCACTTTCTTACCCAACCACAATACCATTAACAGTCATTTTTTTATATAATCTGATCCTCAATCTCGGGCCTCTGGTTGGAAATGAGTCGCAGGCCTTTCCCAGACCCACTGAATCAGAGTCTGTGCCTCCTCGAGGTCCCAGAGTAGTTCAGCTCACATCACAGTCTGAGAAGCAAACATTATACCCAGTCTGTTTGGGGTTGAATTCTGTCCCCCAAAATTCAAATGTTGAAGACCTAAACCCCAGGACCTCAGGACATGACCTTATTTGGAAACAGGGCCATTGCAGACATCGTCAGTTCAGATGAGGTCATACGGGAGGAGGGCAGGCCCTAACCTGGTGTGACCAGGGTCCTTATTGTAAAATTTGGACATAGAGACACCTGTGCATGGAGGGAGGACGATGTGAAAAGACAGAGAGAAGGCAGCCGTCTGCAAGCCAAGGAGAGAGGCCTGGAATGCGTCCCTCCCTCACAGCCCTCAGAGGGACCAGCCTGGCCGAGAGCCACCTTGGTTTTGGATGTCAGGCCTCCCGAGCTGGGAGAACACGTCTGTCGTTGTCAGCCACCCAGGTTGCGGTCCTGTGCTATGTCAGCCCCAGGATACTCATGCCCACAGCCTGCGCTCAGGCTCCCCCCAAAGCTGAGCCCACCCTGAAAGGTTCTGATGTAACCGGGCTGGGGTGGAGCTTAGGCGCCGATGCTCGTGACATTCCCGTGGGATTCTCGGCTGAGCACCGGTGGATCCCTGCTCCACTCTCCCGGTTAGCTGGGAAACAGCAGGCCAGGTGAAACCCCAGTGCTGCCTGGCGCTTTGTGGGGAAGGGCTGTAAGCTGTCCGGGGAGAGAAACACCAGCGCTAGAGTGGGAACCCTCCAAGCTGTGGTCTTCAACGTGGAGTCCTGGACCAGCAGCGCCAGCATCCCTTGGGAGCTTTCGAGAAATGCAGATGCTCGAGCCCCAGGCGGGCCTCTTGAATCAGAGACTGTGGGGTGGGGCCCTCCTGGCAATTCTGATGCCCGCTCAAGTGTGGGAACCAGAGCCTTAAAGGGGTGTGGGCCGCAAGCGCCCCGTGCATCTCATAGCCTCCATCCGCACCAGCCCACAGGGATTTTAAGAACGATTAGCTGTCTTTATGCTGAGTTGTAAAGAAGCAAAATCCACTTGCATAGCCAAGCTTATGCCGGGTGTTTCCTTCCTGGACCTCCCAGCTAGCATCTGCATCCGACTGCGGTCCCCACACAGTCACTTTGTTAATCCACTTGTTTGTTGAAACATTAATAGAGGAACACAGTAACGACCTCAAACAGTCCCGAGAGGATTTAATGACAAGGGAATCTCTCCATCGCAGTCCGAGTCCTGCTCCCCAGAGGCGGCCACAGCCAGAACTCTTGTGGATTTTCCCAGAGCTCTTCTCTAAATCCATACTCAAGTCCACGAACATCCCTTGAACACGCACACCAGAAGCCGACCACAGCTTTACACAGTGTCTTTTTCCTGCACTTAGCAACATATCATGGAGCTCACACAGACCTCTGTTTTCGTAACCTGCTTGTCTGACTGTGTGTGATTAATTGAGCAAACCCCTACGGCTGAGTGCTTCATGTGCTTCTCATCTTTTGCTTTTACGTGCAACAATCCTTGTGCATATATATCCTTACACAAATGGCCCAACGTTGGGGTTTCCAGATGTGTGAATTTCACAGGCCAATTAAAGTATCAAGGGGCTGGGGCCGGCCTGGTGGCACAGCGGTTAACTGCACACATTCGCTTCGGCAGCCCAGAGTTCACCGGTTCGGATCCCGGGTGCGGACATGGCACCACTTGGCAAGCCATGCTGTGGTAGGCGTCCCACATATAAAGTAGAGGAAAATGGGCATGGATGTTAGCTCAGGGCCAGTCTTCCTCAGCAAAAAGAGGAGGATTGGTGGCAGATGTTAGCTCAGGGCTAATCTTCCACAAAAAAAAAAGTTAATAAAAAAATATATATATCATTTAAAATATCAAGGGGCTGATCCAAAGCTGCCTATTTATTTTAACAACTAAGGATAGTAAAAAAAAAACAATAATGCCATTTATCATCTATGTTGTAAAGTAAAATAATTTAGCACCTAAATCTTAGAAAGACAAGATTTTTTAAAAAGCAATAAGTTAAACGCCTTGTCTTGTAGAACACTCGAGTTTCTTATGGTATTACAGATCTGCGATGACTGGTTTTCAACAAGATTCTTCGAAGGATGAAGGGAGCTGGGATTATACACATGCACTCGCCCCGCCCTCCAAAATCCCAAGGGTGTCGTTTTGTAGCGGGCCTCCGCCAGCTTCTCCCCATTCTGCTTTTAATGACGCCGCCCTGCGGTCCCAGGTGTTCCCCGTGAAGAGCGAGCGCTTCCATTCTCGTTAGGTAGGGCGACTGATTTGCTAGAAGGTAATTCCAAGCAGGTGCCTAATGAGATTAACGCGGCAACTGGACAGCTGCTTCACTTTCAAAGAAATCTGTTAGCAGGTGCTCGTGGGCTCAGCTCTATTAAAAGCCAATTGCTCTGTAATTCAATTGCGTGGCAGCCTCTATTATCCAGGAGTCCAAATGCCTGGAAAACAGGACGGCTCCTGCCTGCGGTCTGGCCCTGCCCCACTTCCCCAAGAGTGCCTGGTCTCTCATCCCTTCTGTGTATTTGCAGATGGCTCCTGCAGATGGCTCCTAAACTGAGCCTTGCGGAGGCCCTGTCTGAGGACGACGGCTTTGGCATCCCCCGGGAGCCAGAACCCACATTTTCACCAGGTGATTCACAGGCACGTTACAATCTGAGAAGGCCTGGCCTAAATAGAGCTAGCCCGAGACCCAGTGGGGGGCGGGTGGGCAATGTGTTGTCAGACCGCTGGGTGGGGACCCGACTCTGCCAGATCTGCTTGTGGACGTTGAATAAGAGGCTTGGCTCTCTGGGCCTCAGTTTGCTCACGTGTAAAGTGGGAGTAAGAATGGGAGGTGCCTCCAGGAGCTGTTTTGAGGATTAAATACACGAATGAACGTAAGGCTCTCTCACAGGGCCTGGCACAGGAGAGGTGCTCCAACAGTGTGGGTGCTTTCTTCCCTGCCCCGATGAGAAAGGGACTCCGGGGCCACTGTCTCCCCAGCTCTGACCATCCCAGAAACGCACAGGGCCCTGTGGGCTCTAAATTCAGCGCTTGTCAGGCTGTCCCAGGGCAGTGGTCAAGGTGAGGTTCCAGGACTCGGTCCCAGAGAGTCTGTAGGTCAGGAGTGGTGCCTAGATGTTTGCACTCTTCCCTCTGCCTCCCAGGTGACCATGACACACGTGGTCCAGGGAGCACGCACAGAGAAACCATCCAGAGCCCTCGCTGCTCAGAGTGTGGTCTGCGGACCAGCAGCGTCCCCTGGAGCCTGTTAGAAATGCGGGATGTCAGGCCTGCCCCGGACTGTCAGCCCAGGATCTGCATTTTAACCAGCTCCCCGGGAGACCAGGCATCGACCTAGGACTCAGCGCAGGCAAAATGCGGGCACACAGGAAGTGCGTGTGGCCTCTCAGGCTCAGCCTCCCAGCCCCCTCTTCTTCCGAGGACAAGGCTTAGCTGTCATCCTCCAATGTTGAAGCTTGATTTTTCTGGAAAGGGTCTCATACTATTTCCTGGCACTGCTGTAACAAAGTACCACAAACTGAGTGGCTCAAAACGACAGACATGTATTCTCTCACAGTCCCAGAGGTCAGTGTCCAAACTCAGGTTCCCTCTGGGGACTCCAAGTGAGAATTCGCTCCAGGCCTCTCCCCCAGCTTCTGGTGGCGGCCAGCGACCCTCGGCGTCAGGACTTGTCGACGCATCACTCCCCTCTGCTCCATCGTCACACGGCCTTCCCTGTGTCCGTGACTTCTCTTCTGTCTCTTATAAGCACATCAGACATCAGATTGAGGGCCCACCCTAATCCAGGATGATCTCCTCTCAAGATCCTTAATTACATCTGCAAAGACTATTTCCAAGGCAGGTCACACGCACAGGCACCAGGAGTGAGGGCTTGGACGCATCTGTTTGGGGGGGCCACCTTTCCACCCACCACAGGTCTACTTTGTGGCTTACACCTTTCAGTGTTTAAGTCGCTCTTCTCTGAGGGGCTTTACGTTTGTTAAATCTCTCATGTGGGCGGGAGAAAGGCCATGTCCTTTAAGAGATTTCAGTCCTCCGTAAGCTGGTGGGGGAGGCCTCATTCCGGTGACAGGTGCTGACGATCTCAATTACAGCACCACCAGCGGCTTTTGACACCCACCAGGGGCCAGAGAGGGGCAGCCAGGTGGCCATCAGGCCTGGCACCTCCCCTGGGGGTGGGGATGTGGGCTTGAGGTGTGGCCCCACCCACCAGCCTACAAATGTCATGCAAGAAACTGGGGCACCAACGCCCAGGGGAGGCCACCAGGGAAGGATCCGGCCCCAGATAAAAGGATGTTTATCTGGTGGTGCTTCTAGAAACATCTAACACCCGCCAATAAAGGATCCCGGCGTGGGTTTAATGAGACCCCTGAATGGGAGTGTCCAAGTCCTTGGTGCCCAGCACTGGAGGTCCCCGGAGCTGGGACACAGGCACGGACACACACACTTGGACAGCACAAGCTGTTGGAGGCAATAGGAACGATCAAACTGCCCATCACTCTTGGTGTGGACGGGAGGCTCTCGGCCTGCTGCACGTGGGAATCTCGTTGGGAACTCACACAAGTCCTGGTGCCCAGCTGCTCCCAGACCAATGGGTCAGCAGCTCTGGGAGGCAGGCCTCAGCCACCCAGGGGATCCAACGCACAGCAGCACTGAGAACCGCGAGCGTGTGACCGCAAGCTGTTGCCACACCGACTGGGGCTTTGTGGGAAGATACGGGGCCTTGTGGCAGCCAGGGGCGTCTTAAGAACCCGCAGGTGGAGGCAGTGGCAGGTTGAGGCAGTGGCCCACACGGCAGCCTGTTTGAAACCATGCTTCTGCTTCCATCCCATGGGGCCCCCTGGGCCGTCATCCTGGGACCCTCCTCGCCTTCTACCCCTCACTCCCGCGGAGGACTTCTGCCGCCAGAACCCGCCCCCTTTGGGGCTGCTCTGTCCCTCCTCTCAAGTTTGTGGCCGCCGTGGGGGTGCACTGCTCAGACCTCCCTCCTTTCTGTCCCCAGACAACAGTGGAGCAGGGCGGGGCTGCCAGAGCAGGCCATGCCGGCCCCAAGCCGGCTCCTCCAAAGGGTCATCTTCATGCCGGGGCTCCCTGTCAGCTGGCCAAGACTTCCTGCTTGTTGCCCTGCAGGCTGAGCCTCTTTCTGCCCAACCCGCCTTCCTTCTGCTTCTCCTTTCTCGGGTGTCACATCCGCACTGTGGGCTGAAGCATCTCCCGCCGCCTGCTCGGTCTCCCTCTCGTCCATCACAGGCATCACACCCAATAAGTCTCTTGCACATCTAATTCCAGCTGGGCCTCTGCTGCCCGTGGGACCTGAACTAGCTCAGGACTCAGCAGTGGGCGTGTCCCCATATACAGGAATGGGGTTCAGGAGACGTGGCTGGCCACAACATAAGTGTCCTCTGTGCTCGGACCTCTCCCCAAAGTCCCACGCGAAGCAGCAGCTGACCCAACCTCGCTCTCCCTAACAGCCCTTGCCCCCTCCTCTGTCCCACCTTCCCTCGCCTTTAAGGTCTCTTCTCTTTGCTGCATGTTTTCACTGTGTCTTTGTCATGTAACTATAACCCATTCCCCTGACCAAAACTATAAAGATCGGAGAGCGTGTCAGTCAACCCATCCGTCCATCAACCCCGCTTAGAAGGGCAGAGAGGGACATGCATTGTTAATATTTTTTCCCTGTCCCATGGACCCCAACTTAATGATTATAACAGCTTAATAAGTTGCTTCTTGCTTCCCTTACTTGTATGTAAAGATGAAAGTCCGGAGAATTCCTGACCATCTGCCGGGAAGAACATAAGGAAGGCCCCTCCTGACCAGCAGGTGGCCCCCAGGCCACGCTTTCAGGAGCTGTGCCTTAGAGGTGCCCCATTCCACCATTAGCCCTGGCCCCATAACCCCCTTTCTGGAGCCGGTCCTTGGAAACAAGACGGCAGCAGCAGGTGGGCAGGCCCCCGCCGCAGCCTGTGTGCAGAGGAGCATCTCCACGCCACGGGGCGGGAGGGTCCCTCCTGTGCTGCTCTCCGCCCGCTCCTCCTCACCTCCCTGCAGCCTCCACAGCTCCGCTTCCATCCTTTGTTCGGCCGCGCCAGCCAACCTAAGAGCATAAATCGATTCTGCGCAAATCCCCCTCACAAAGCACAATCTGCCCTCGGCCAGTGCAGCCAAGACGCCACCCAAGACGGTCCCTGATCCACGAGGAAGGTGGACTTTCCTCCAGCTCAGGAAAGTCATGTGACACCCCGGAACGGGGCCCCGGTATGTTTGTGGTGGAGAGCACGGCCCTTGGAGAAGCACAGGCATATTGTTTTCTCTGTCGGGACCGAGAGCTCCTGACGCTCCTTCAATGCCGCCCCAGCCCCACTGTGGACAACACAGTTCCAGCTCCTCAGCGGCCCACGGCAGGAAAGGGGAAAAGACAGTGAGGCTGTGTTATTAACGACTCCTCGGGCTTCTAATAGCGGCCTGTGCTGAGCTCAGAGAAACACGATCGCTGCCCTGATGTTCGATTGGCCTGTGTGGATCTTAGATTAATTGGCTGTAAAGAAGAGACTCAGGTTCAGCCACTTGAGCCAGGATTTCACTGAATGCTCATGGGAATCTCGTGAAGAAGGACCACAGCTGATTTCACACACGTGTGAATTGGGGCTCAGAAAGATCCAGTAACTTTCCCCAAATCACACAGCCAGTAAGGGCAGGGCCGAGGCTGGAGCTAGAGTCTCCTAGTTCTAAGCAGAGCGGACTGCTTGTCTGGCCACCCAGGAACCGATTAAAAGAACTTTCCAACCAAAGTCTGTTCCTTGAGCAAATATGGTTTGTTGTTATTTGAAAATACCAAGCACACAAGTTGCGCTTGCTCTGTGCCAGGCGCTGTTCTGAGCCCCTCCCAGCGTTGATTCACTTAATCATTTCCACAGTTCTGTGAGGCAGGTTCAGGCATCATCCAAGCTTACACTTGAGGAAACCGAGGTGCTGGGGGTTAACTGACTTGCTGGAAATCACACAAGAATGTCTGAGCTGGGATTTTCACTCAGGCATTTGATTCTGGAGTCGATGAACTTCACCACTGCCCCCTGCTACAAAGAAAAGAAAGGAAACGCAGAAAGGAGAAGTGCGTTTGGCTCATAAACAGGGTCAAAACTCACTGAATTTAAGGGCAAAAATCCCCTTGGCCTGTTTCTTGGAACAGCTCATTGTGATGCGCCCACCATCAGCCAGAGACAGCAGAGGCTCCAGGTAAAGACAAAGGGCCGGGGAGCCACGCTCTGCAGATCCACTAGCTGTGCGACACGGGCCAGTTCTTCAGTTTCCCGTCTGTAAAGTGGGGGTGGCAATGCCTACCTCACATTCCAGGCATCAAACGAGTGGAGCTCCCAGAACCGCGCCTGGCTCCTCTTGAGTGGGGAACAAAGGTCACCCTTTGCTATTCCTGTTTTTCTGCTCAATTCCACACTCCCACCACCACCACCACCACCAGCACCATCACCTCACTGCTCTCTGAAAGTCGAGTGAATTTGCAGGAATAATGCAGCCACCCAGGCTAACTTAATGACATCCGAGTGTGGGCCACATGGGCTTATGATTTATGATTATGACTTTTAAAAAGTCATAAAGGGGTCACACCCATGTCTATGGGTAATTTCTCCCATTTCAACACCAAAGCCCTCAAGGGGAATCCAGCGTCAGCTCCTCCCTGTGCTGACACGAGTTTTAAGTTTCAGGAGCTGGAGACTGAAGGGACCTATGGAGATCCTATCTCACTTACTCATTGGTTCATTCATTCATTCAGCAAATGTCCCTGGAGTGTCTGCTATATGCTAAGTAATGGCAGACAGTGGACATAGTTACTGACTCCTGGAATGTTCTAAGTGGACAAATACCAGCAAACCACATATCATGCACATAATCATTTAATTGCCAGTGCTGTGAAGGAAAACACAAGAGGGCCAGGACACAGTGTCACAGAAGGATGGGACCTGGTCAGGGAGGATGTGGGAGTTAAGCTGAGACCTGAGAGATGGGTAGGAGGAGATGGACGCGAGGGAGAGAGGAGGAATCAGTCCAGGCTACAGGAAGGCCCAGGGAAGGAGAGTGGGCTGAGTCTGGGGAATCGAAAGGAAACCAGTGGTAGTCGAGCAGAGCAGGCCAGGAGAGGCAGCCACAGATGTGAACAGCCTGGCTCATGAGAGGCCTTTAGGACCACATTCTCAGAGCAATGGGAAGTGATTAAAAGCTTTCAACAGGACTGACATGCTAAGATTTGCGTTTCAAAAAGATCACCCTGGCAGCTGTATGGACAACAGATGGGAAGAGTGGAAAGCAGTGAGGAGGTGAAGGATGGCAGGGCTTGGACCAGAGTCATGAAAATGGAAGTGAGCTGCTTTTATGAAATCGACAGGACGTGGTGATGAGCAGGACATAGGGTGAAGGAATGGGGTCACGGATGCCTCCTGTGATTCTGGTATGTACACCTGGGAATGAGCTGGAGTCTTTCACTGATGACAATGATGGGAACAAGCTGTGGAACAGACATTTTGCTGATTCTCCAACAGTCTTCACATAATATGCAGCCAAAGCCGCATAAAGTAACATTTTCATAGTCTCTGCATTTTATGTAAACCATCGAAATAGGGAGACAGTTGTTATGCTTCAGCATGGGGTGGTCATTCAGGGCTTGTTCAGGACTATATTATGAAGCTCCTGGAGGTCTTTTTATTTGGAAAAAAGGACTCCAGCTTGGGCTGCTGACACTTCCAGCCCAACTGCTATACCTTCAGCTCTTGGCATAAGAAAGGAAGCCTTTTTCTTTTCCCAAAGCTTCTGTCCTAATCAGCAGGGTTATTATAGGAGACAGGAATGTGCGTTATTTTTTTCAATGTTTGGATAACTCTGGGAAAGTTACCATTACTTGCCCCACTTTACAGTTACGGAAACCAAGGCTCAGAGATGGTAACTCTCTGGCCCGAGAGCACGCATCTAGTAAGCAGCAGATCTGGGATTCAAGGACATGCTGGTTATTCTCCAGATCCGCTCTCTGCCCTTCTCCTCTGTCCCAGGCCCAGGAAGCCGATCTCCATGCCCTTGTGCCTCTCCTGGTTTGGCCACTGGGAAGCACCAGCAGGAGATGAGAGCCTGGAAGGAGAGAGAGGCCAGGGTATTTATCACGCTCCCCCCAGCTCCATCCACACTGGGCTTGCTTTTGGCAGTGCCTTCATTCTTTAGCCATGGCCACAGCTGCTGTTGGCCAGCATCTCTGTGATGCTGCCACGCTGGTAGAGTCCAGCGAAAGCCTTCTCTCACCTTCCCCGCTCAGCGTCCCTGCAGTGGCTCCCTGCTGTGGCTTCTGGGTGTCTTGCCATCCTGGTCTGGTTCCCTCCACTGCCCAAACCTCTGTCCAGAGCCCCTTAAAATGACACCCCCTTTGAGGAACACTTTGGGAACACCACCCTTTCCTGCCAATACCGACTTATACAAATGCAGCTCACCCGCACACAACGCTGCTCCCGCACCCATCCTCACCCACACACTCTGGGTCTACCATCAAAGCTTCACTGCATCCGCCCCCTTCCTATTCCCGCCCCTTATTCCAGGACTGTATGACCTCCCACCCGAATTGCTTCAATAAGTTCCCGATCTGCACCCCTCCTCCATCCTTTTTGCATCAGATCCACGCTGCCCAATGCTGTCTGATTTATCTTCTTGTCATATGTCAACCAGCATGTCACCTGGCCACTGAGAAACCTTTAGCAGTACAAGAGAAAGAGCACGGCCTTTGGAGGCAGACACATCTGGGTTTCCTCACTGAACCTCTGTCTCCTCCTCTGTGCCATGGGCCCCGTAAGAGTTGCCTACCTTCTTGTCTTTCCAAGTGTGGTCATGGACCAGCAGCATCAGTGTGGTCTGAGGGTCTGTTAGACACATAGAATCTCAGCCCCCGCCCCCAGACCCGCTGAATCGGAATCCACATTTTCACAAGCTCCTCTGGGCGATTCGTGTGTACAGTAAATTTTGAAAAGCCCTGCCCTGCCTCAGCGGATTCTGGTTTGGAGGAAAGAAAAAGTTAATTTCCTGCTGGATTACTGACTGAGAGCAAGGATAGTGCCCTTCCTCGTCCTTCTTTTCTGCGGTAAGGAGGTAGAAGTCTGCCCTCCTCCAACGCTGGATCACGCCGCACCTGAGGGGCTAGCAGTTAGCACAGCACCTGCGCCCCTTACGCATAATCTCCTTTCCTCCTCGCAGTGCCCCTCTGAAGAAGAAACCATCGTCCCCATGGTACCGACGGGGAAACAGATGCTCAGGGAGGCCCTATGACTTGCCCAAGGTCGCTTTGCTCGAGGCAGGTGGGGGACCACGCCCATCTGAGGCCCCCGCCCTTGTCTGACCTGCCATGCTTGCCCCCCTCTCTCAGCCTGCACCGCCGTGTGGGATCCTAGGTTTGGGGTCCTGCGTTTCTAAGAGCCACACCTGCTCCCACTCTTATCCGTTTGCTCGTCCATCCACGACTTCCACAGGGGGAGGCAGCATCGTCCTGCGGACAAATTCTGAGTTCCCCTCCAGGGCCAGTCTGGAAACTCCTGACAAACACGTCCTCTGAGCAGACAGGCCAGAACCTGAACAAAGAAACACAGAAATGTTACCGACTTGCAAATTTATGGGCAATCCAGGCTGCCAGATTTGCATTTTTGGCCAACTGTCCTTTTGCTCACTCTGCTGAAATCACTCCGTTCCGGCTCCCTCATTCATGAGTGTAACCAGGAGGGCCGTCGGGACAGAGAGTGTGATGAAAGCAGTGACCTTTCCGGAACAGAATGGCCAGTGGCCCCAGCATTCCTGCGAGGAATGCCCCATTAGCAGCTGAGGGCCTTGGTGCTGTTTCTGGAAGCACCTTCCTCGGCAGCTGAAAATCTCATCTTTGTATCTGGCAGTTCTGGCTCTTCATTGCACGCACATTCGGTTCCCTCCCGGGGGCGAGGCCTTCCTCCGGGACACCCCAGCCGTTTCCTGCCTGCCGCCAGCGGCTGAGGAGAGGTGGGGGTGAGTTCTGACAATCTCGTCATCGGGAGGGATGTTGGGGCCCTGGGGGCTGGGAGCAGGAAGGAAGCCACACAGCTGAGCAGCTGCCAGAAACTGTCGCTGCCGATACTGCGCAAAGAGCATGATCTTACTCCTGAAATAACGTCATGGCTGTGATTCATTCGACAAAATTTTAAAGCATATTTATTGTTCCTTATGAAAGTATTATAACTACCTTCCAGAAATGAAAAGCAAGAAATTACACACACACACACACACACACTCACAGACACACTCATTGTGTCAGGGGTCCCCAAGACCACCCCCACGTTCAGAGATTCCCTAGAAGGACTCACGGTTTTCAACATCTAGCTGTATCTGTGGCAAAGAGCGATTTCAGCCGTGGAGTCAGACACACCACTGCATCATAAGGGGAAAACCCACAGTGGGACGCAGCCGTCTGCAGGGCGCGAAACAGGCCCTCACCAGGAACCGAACCTACCGGCACCTTGATCTCGTGCTTCCAGCCTCCAGAACTCTGAGAAGTAAATGTCTGTTGTTGAAAGCCCCGCGTCTGTGGTATTTCCTTACAGCAGCCTGAGCTGACTGAGACATGGAGTCTAGAAGAATCCGTACCCAGTCTTCCTGATGCTTCCTCTCCCAGGAAGGTGACACAGAGCACTCTCCTCCTGCAGCAGTGTCCCCGCCCCGGGCAGCCCGTGGGAGACTCCGTGCCCAAGGGTTTCCCTGGGGCTGGTCATGCAGGCATCCTCTGCCTGGCACGGACCAAAACACCAGATTCCCACAAAAAAAGCAAGGGTTCCGCATAAGCCGTACTGTTGTACAAACACACCAGGCACAGTGACGCGTCCTTGTCAGCTAGGGAATGCACAGAACGGGTCCAGTGCCCGGTTCCTGGACGCCACCCGTGAGCCAAGACGTAAGCAGGCCTTTCTAAGGAGAGGTCTCCAGCCTGCCACGTCACCTCGGTTCTGCACCTCCACACACAAGCATAACACCACCGCTGCGAGCACTTCTACTCATTGCCATCTTCTCCACCCCGGGCAAGACTCTAGAATGGTTGACCCAGGAAACCCGGAAAAGAAGTAGTGTCTGCTAGGAACCCATATGGAAGAACAACGACAGCAACGATAATAATAATCCGCCTCGCCACATGCCAGGTAACTCTACATTATCTCCTTTAATCCTCACGGCAACCTTGTGGGACAGGAAATATTATGATTCCCATTTTACAGCTGAGGAAAACTGAGGTTCAGAGAGGTTACGTGACTTGCCAAGGTCACACAGCCCTTAAGTGGAGATGCTGTGATTCGAATCCAGACCTGTCCTCCACTAAGCCTGATCTCCAACTGTTGCACTGGGAACGTCACGCCAGCTCACCTATTTCCTTTTCCGCCGGAATTCAGACAGTAAATCAGGAAAATGCAACAGACACGGTGAGGCTGGAGGTGAAAGAGGTCTCTCACAACTTCCTGGACATTTAATCCACTCAGGTGGATTCCAAGTTGTTGCAGGACGGCCCTCAACGGGAACTGACTGATTCGTGGGCAGGACTGATGACCACTCGAGGGGGTGACACATCACAGGACTGTGGATGCAGCGTGGTCCTAGTCGGCTGATCCCCTGACCCCCTCGCACCCCGTCAGCAGCGGGCACAGTGCCTGGGATGTGTTGTGCGCCCCAGGCAGCAGAGACGAGCTGGCTAAGGGAGGCCCCGTGACGGACACTGCCGACCTCTCCTGTCTGCTCCGAGCCCCAGGCTCGGGGCCACATGCAGGTGGGCCTCATCCAATCGGAAGAGCAAGGCGCGATAGTTCTTATGTTAACTGGAGATTTTACAAGGATCGGGCGGGAACATCAGAACCCACAGTGGAGAATAAGAACAGGACGCAGTCAGTTCCATGGTTAACTAAACGTAGCAATGGACACCAAAGAGCAGGTGTGCAGATATGCCCGGAGGGGCGCGGTGGTCTTCTGCAGCCCCCAGGCCCACGCCCCATACTGCTGATTGGCCGAGAGGAAGCTCTCGCTCTGCTCGGATCTGGTCCAGGCTCCCCTTCTCTGCTGTCATGCTCTTGTGCTAGTCCCCTCCGGGCTCTCGGGCTGCCCGGCCCTGCCCTGGGTGTGCCTTTTCTCTCATTTCAGTTAGTCATCCTGGACATTTTCTGTCCTCTACGTTTCCTTGGCCTGTGGCCACCCGCTTTGATGCAATTCTAGAAAGAATTTTGAAATGCCTTTCCTTCCACTGGGGCGACCACCTTGCCAACAGAGTCTGTCTGTCTTGCTCAAAGTTCTTTGGGTTGCAGATAACACAAACCCGGGGCCGGCTCCGTGAGCACACAACCTGCCCAGTGGCAGAGGGCCCCGGCTTAGGAGGGGTCCCCACTTGGTTTCATGCTCTGCAGTTGCCACCTTAAAATTCTTGAAGGTGTTTGAAAAAGGGAACCCCCAGTTTACTTTTGGGGCCAAGCCCCACACTGCATGTAGCTGGTCCTGCATAAAGCCATTCTGGAAATCTGAATTACCAAAGGAGACGACTGGAAGGACAAGGGGGCGCCTCAGAGAACCCAGAGGCAAGGTTGAGATGGGGCCTCACAGGGCTGGAAGCAGGGCCTGGGGAACCTGAAAGAGCCCAGGAGGCCCCTCTCCTCCCCCCACCCCCAGCTCTCACTTCTGCCCCCTGCCTTATTCTCCCTCTGAGCAAGACAACACGCTGCCGGCCCCTCCAGGATTCCCTCTCCTCTGTTCCGGGATCCTTCCTGGCAGCGACTTCACCGGACGGAGATCAGTGCTGGCCAAGGGGGCGGGCCCCACGGGACCCGCACGGCTTCCCTCTGTTCGGGAAGCAGGAAACAGAGTCAGCTGTTGGCAGAGAGCGAGGCCGCCTTCCGGTGGAACACAGACCATGGCCCCCGGCCGCCGAGGCCCAGGATTTACGGCCTCATCATCTCAGGCTCGCTCTCCCAGGAGCTGCCCTGCCGGGAATGAGGTCCACCGACGCGTGGGTGATGGATTAGGTGACCTTCGACCTTCAGTCCATTTCCAGCTGCGCTATTGATTTGGGGAAAAGCCTATGGCTTCTTTGTCATTTTCTTTCTCCTCCTGTTTAAAAACCAACCAACCAAAATAAACAGAACTTCACAAGGCAGCTGGGAGGGCAAACAATGTACATATCTGTGAAGACGGCTGGTCTGGAAAGACGCTTCTCTCACACACACACACACACACACACACACAACAGAATGAGCATTTTCTGACTCTGTAAGCAAGCTATATATCTTTGGCCCTTCATGGTCCGACCCTCAGTAGCTCCCTGCAAAGCATCCTCTGGGGGCAGTCGGAGTTCTGTGTGGGGCCCTCAGCAGCCTCGCCAAAGGCAGTTGATTAGACGCTGGGAGATAAATCTTCTTCGCTTCCTTCCTCTCCGAGATGATTACGAGGAAAGTGCTCCCAGAGCCCCGCCGGGAACAAAGGCCCAGTGTCCGGCGGGGCACCCCGCCCCCGACCTCTCATGCATTATGAATCAAGACCTCATGATCGTTTCATAAAGCTTTCCACGCTCTGAAACGGTCGCTGCCCCTCCTCGGGCTGCACGCTGCAGAAACCCCCTGGGCCCCTGCAGGCTGCTATCTCCCTGCTGTCCCCACGCCAGCCCCAGGGGACTGCCAGCCCCCAGCCACAAATGCCAGCCAGGCCTTCTGTGGATGCCACCCTGCCTGACGCCCGTGCCTGCCGGGTCCCTTCTCCACAGGGCTCTCCCGCTTCCCTGTCATGATCTCGGCCTGTCTGAGGGGGCCTGACCTGCAGCAGGGCTGGGGACCTTTAGGGGGTAATGAACACAGGCCCAGAAGCCTTCAAATTCACCCAGCACCCACTCCCCAGCGAGCCCTGGGAGGGCTGCTTCCAAGCTCCCTGCTTCTCTGCCTCCTTATCTGCAAGAGGGACATGACGACAATAAGGCGATTTCACAGGGGAGGTGAGAGGTTAACTGTGATCTCTGTGTAAAGTGCTTGGCAGAGGTCCTGGGCCACGGCGAGTGTGGGATCAGCTCTAGCCGGGTCTGTCTGTCTGTCTGTCTCTGTCTCACTCTGTCATGGTGTGTTTTTATTTTGTTATTTAACCACATGCTCCCATAGGCACAGGATACTCATGGGACGATGCTCATGGGGACCAGCAGTGGTTACCGTGGGGGGGCAAGGGAGCAGGTGGCTGAAAATGCATTCTGGGAGGTAAGGAGGTAGCAGCAGGTGGGACCACCAAGCCCCTGGCACACGCTGCGTTGTCCCACCGCACTTCACTTCCAAAACACAAAAGCAAAGATAAAATTATCCAGAAGGTCCAGAAGGCCACTGCAGAGCGTTAATTCCCAGGCACAGGCCCGTGTGAGCACGAGGCCATTCACCCCTGAGGCCAGCCCTGACTGCAGCTGGCGCTTCGATTTACCTGTCACCCTGATTCTCTGATTCGAGAAAGCCGCTCATTGAATATACATCTTCTACCCATTTGGGACTATCTACCAGAGCTGAACACAGACACACGCCACAAGCCAGCAATTCCACTCCTCGGTGTACACCCAACAGGGCTGTGGGCATGTGTAAGAACTTGTACCAGAATGTTCTTAGCAACATTACTCACATTGGAAATGACCCAATGCCCACCAACAGTAGAATGGCTGGACAAAGGGGGCCCACGCATGTGATGGAAAACCACACAGATGAAAGCTGGCTCACAGGTCCACACAACCACAAGGCTGGATCCCACGAATGCAACGCCGAGGGAGAGAAGCCACACACAAAAGAGCTCACGCATGTGGTTCCAAGCATAAAGGCAGGACGACGAATCTGTGCTGTTAGCGGTCAGGATAATGCTTACCCCTGGGCATGCGGGGGTCAAAGGGGACACAAGGCGGGCTGGGGGCTGGTAATGTGGGGTTTCTTGATCTCAATGCCGATCACGTGGTTGTGTTCAGAGTGTGAGCATTCGTGGAGCTGTGTGTTTCAAATTGTGCACTTCTCTGTATGTATCATATCTCAATAGAAAGCAAAGTGTACAATAACTTTCCCAGGGACTCACCGAGGGGAAGATCGAGGGGGTGAAGGAGCCGACTCCGGCCCCTCCCCGGTGCAGCCCCGAGGCCTACGTTTCCTCTGCCCCTGCCCGTCTCCTTATGCTAGATGTGATTTTGTGACACTCAGAACATTGCTTGAAGTCCAACAGAGACGACACAGAACCAGCAGGCTCAACGCCAGGAAATAGGGTTCCTCTGCATCCTCTTGGTTTTATTTATGAAAGATTGGCCCAAAGAGTGACAGAAAAGCAAGGGATGAGGGAACACTGCACAGCCACCGGAAATAATGCTGGAGAAGGTCTTTGAGTGACTCTCAAGGCCCGTGAAGGAGAGAGGCTGCACCCTACGGGCAAGCCGACAAGTTAGCCTGCCACGGTTTCACAGCTGCTAGTAGAAGACACGAGTCTCCTGGATCAGAGACAAAGGACTTTATGACTCGCAGCACAGCAGGCAGCGTGAGCTTTAGCTTTGCATCACTTCACCTTTCCCCAAGTCCCACCGGGGCGATGTGATGGGACCCGGGTGGATGCCACACGCAGAGCATGTTCCTACCCACTGAGGAATCCTGAGCTTAGGGAGCCCAGATCTCTCCTGCTGGGCAGGAAGCCTGCCTGACCTTTGTCCTGGAGGGAGATTCCGTATTACATTGGGCAGAAAACTAACTGGTCCTTTGCTTGGTGGGAGATGCTATGTCTAACCACCAAGGCCGTTTGCTACACAAACATCCTTGAAAAGACAGTCAATGCTTCTGCGTGCCAGACATGCAGAAACCTGAGACCCACGGAGAACAGTCTCCCCACAGCGACAGAGAAAGAAATTTGGGGATCACGGAGAAACAGGTTACAAAACGGCCCATATCTTGAGTTCTGGGTCCACACACATGCACATCACATAAGCTAATATAAGCCTGGCGAAAGATACACACAAAGGCTCACGGGGCTTCTCTCTGAGTATTCTAAAGTTTCAATAGTCAACAAGCATTACTTTTATATGCAGAAAAATAAACATAAAAGATAGTTATCGTTGGGGCTAAGAATAAGTAGCTAGCCTTTGCCCTGTGTTTCCAAAATGCCAAGCCATCTTCTGAGCACGTTTTCTGTATCACCTCCTTTAACCTTCACAACGACCTACGAGCCAGGTGCCGCTTACCACCCCCATTTTCCAGATGAGGCAAACCGAGGCCTGGAGAGGCCACACAGTGAGGAACCAGTCCAGCTGGACTCCGAGCCCACGGGGAGCGGCTGCCGACTTCAAGCTCTTAAAACCTCTTCCCTCTGCACCTCGCATAAAGCCTTATTATGACAGGAGAGAAGGCCTCTTACCAGCAGCCTTTTATTTATAGACGTAATGATAAGTCTGAAAATAGACAAGAATTGTTTTCTCTCCACCCAGAAAATTAGAGGAATCTAAACCCCACCATAGTTGGATAGGAAGGCCGTGTAATAACACGCAGATGCTTATGATGAAGTCAGAAAGGCAGGGCGGATCACGTATGCTCACCAATACTGCGCATTTGTAAGAAAAAGACACGTAGACACACAAGGGGAAAAAAGAACCAGGACATGATATGCAAAGAAATTGCTGTGTTTGCTTTGGGGGAAGAACTCCTGGGGATATTTTTTTCTTTTCTTCATTTTCTGAATTTTCTCCAACGTGGTTATAGTTCTTTTATATTGAAAAAAGTTATAAAATGCAAGAAGCGAGACAAACCACAAAGGAAGCGAATCATACGCTGTGAGGACTCCCGGAGAACGTCGGTCCATCAGCCAGAGCTGATGACCCGGCCGCCAGCAGCCAGCATCTGCCTGAGAATGTTTTACTTGGCTGAACCCTCGTTTAGACAAACACTTGTTGCTTTCTGTCTCTGTAAAATAGGGAGATTTCAGATAAAATCCATCTTTCTCTGAACACTTGCCTTCCTACGACCCAGCAATGCCACTCCTGGGATACGTTCAATAGAAATGTGCATGTCCATACACCAAAGGCATCTTCTAGAATGTTCACAGCTGCTCTATTCACGATAGCTCCACACAAGAAACCCCCCAAATGCCCATCGTGGTAGATGAATAAATGAATTGCGGTACATTTGCGCCAGAAAACAAGGTACAGAAGCTGAGAGTGAACGATTTACAATGACGCCCAAAACTCGTAAGCGTTACAGACACGATGTGAGGGAAGGAAGCCAGACAGAAAAGCACACCCTAGGGGCCAGCCTGGGGGTGCAGCGGTTGAGTGCACCCGTTCCGCTTCGGTGGCCCAGGATTTACCGGTTCGGATCTCGAGTGCAGACATGGCACCACTTGGCAAGCCACGCTGTGATAGGCGTCCCACATAGAAAGTGGAGGAAGATGGGCACGGATGTTAGCTCAGGGCCAGTCTTCCTCAAAAAAAAAAAAAAAGCACACCTTGTAGGTGAGGTATGAATATAGACCAGCACAGCTGATATCCGGCGTCAGCAGCTGGGACGGTGCTCAGCTCTGGGGATGG